ATTATTTAATTTTTTTCAATTAAACCATAGACCTTCAGTAAAAAAATAAACATCTCTTGTCCCTACTTTTCGAGTGCATTAAGGATTAGAAACAATATGGATAAATACATGTCAATTCATATATCTTTATCATAATCCAACAAAATAATCTTTTTTCTACTCAAATTTGTCATTCTAACAAATTACTCACCCATTAGCTATTTCTCTTTATATATACACAACAAAAATTCACAGGTATTAAATAATTAGATAAAGTTATAGTAATTAACTTAAAGTTTCAAGTATAATTAATAAAATTAATTTAATAATATATATTTTAAATTAAAGATATATAAATCGATTGATCATGTAAAAATCATTTAAATAGTAATGTTATATAAAAGATAATTAGTTAAATCAACGAATGCCTAGTGAAAATTAAAATTTAGAAAAGAATTTTTTTTGACTGATAAAAATATGTGTTCCGCCAATCTCAATTGAAAATAAATTACACGTGCTTATAAATTAAACAAGATTCTAAAAATCCCACAAAGGCAAGTAATGTATATTTTTTCTTCTCCTTCTTTGTACCACTAATTTCTAAATTAATAAAACGTGTTCAAAATTTCAACGGTGGAAACTATTGAAAGGGACTATAAATGGTCCAATTATTGTCCTTTACTTATTATCCAAATAAAAGGATGTATATATATTACGTGAATAATCGAAATTGTATGTATATATATATATATATATATAATTCTAAACTAATAAATTTTAATAAGATTAATAGCGATGATGCAGCGACGATGGGTTGGTGGTGTGCGTTGAATGAGATTATCGATCATAAAGAAAGAGGGGAGAAGATGAACAGTTTTTTAAAATAAATTTTTGGCCCAGAAAAAAACATTCACGTGCTGACTTTAAGTGCATTACACTCACCTTGCCATGACAGAGAAAATCATCAAAAAATGACACAATGAGACCCTACATAAGGGTTTAAAATGAACATCGCTGAAGCGAAATTTCGTGCCAACTTTAGGGGGTCACCGATAGGTTAGAACTATTTTTAAAATCATCTCAATTATGTTGGTTTCTCTTCAATATTGTAGGGTGTTACGTAGGACAATAGGTATCTACTTATTCAACTTTTGAATAGTTTAAGCACGTACTTGCTTGTGTATATTCAAAATTGAATGACATAGACGCGGTTAAAGAGTAGAGAATGAGTAAAACGTGTTGACATGCAAATATCTTGTTCTTTCTTCTATATAAGTGATGCAGAGAAAGACTTAAGTATACACAACAAATTTTCTTTATTTACAATGGCAACACTAAGAGTTTCTTCATTGTTTGCTTCTTCTTCTTCATCTTTGCATTCTAACCCTTCAGTTTTTACTAAATATCAATCTAGTCCCAAATGGGCTTTTTCATTTCCAGTTACACCCTTGTGTTCAAAAAGAAGTAAAAGAATAGTTCATTGCATTGCTGGTGATACTCTTGGTCTTACTAGGCCTAATGAAAGTGATGCCCCTAAGGTCATTATAGTTTTATTTCGTTGTAGTATTGTTCTACTACTATTTGTTGTTTTGCTTACTACGTATTTTTTCTTGAACTTTCATTAATTACGTCTTTTTAGTCTGATTTATTTGGTTGCGGTACTGTTCTACTACTATCTATTGTTTTGTTTATTACATATTGTTTCTAGAACTTTCATTACGTCTTTTTTAGTCTATTTTATTTGGTTGTAGTATTGTTATGCTATGAAATGTTGTTTTCTTTACTATATATTGTCTCTTGTACTTTCATTACGTCTTTTTTAGTCTGCTTTGGTCTTAACCCGGGGGTTTACCAAAAAAACAACCTCTCTACCTATTCACCTTTGAGGTAGAGCTAAGGTCTGCGTACATTCTGTTTTTGTTGTTGTTGTAGTTGATTCCTGTGATCTCTATTTTATAGTTTTCGGACTAAATCCTGTTTCTGTTTTTGTAACATGAAAGATATCAATTGGTGCTAAAGATACTGCTGTGGTGCAATGGCAAGGAGACTTACTTGCAATAGGCGCGACGGAGAATGACATGGCTAGAGATGAGAATTCTAAGTTCAAGAATCCACTATTGCAACAGCTTGATTCCGAATTGAATGGTTTATTGTCTGCAGCTTCTTCTGAGGAGGATTTTAGCGGAAAGTCTGGACAATCCGTAAATCTCAGGTTTCCTGGTGGAAGGATTACTCTAGTTGGTCTTGGCTCATCAGCATCATCACCTACTTCTTATCACAGTTTAGGACAGGCTGCTGCTGCTGCTGCCAAGTCTTCTCAGGCTCGTAATATTGCCGTTGCACTTGCTTCCACCGATGGACTCTCTGCAGAATCGAAGATTAACTCTGCCTCTGCCATAGCAACTGGTATACACATATATATGTGTCCATTTTCTTGGTGAACCATATTGAGAAACAAAACTTGATTAGTTTTCTTGAATGTTATAGGAGTTGTGCTAGGGTCATTTGAAGATAATAGGTTTAGGTCCGAGTCGAAGAAATCAACTTTGGAATCTTTGGATATTCTTGGACTGGGAACTGGACCTGAAATAGAGAGGAAAATCAAGTATGCAGAACATGTATGTGCAGGTGTTATACTCGGTAGAGAGCTCGTTAACGCACCAGCCAATATAGTTACGCCTGGTTAGTGATCTGTCTTTCAATGCATCTTCTCTTTTAATCATATCATATATTACTAAAATAACATATCGAGTTTGTGCTGCAGCGGTACTTGCTGAAGAGGCTAAAAAGATTGCGTCCACTTATAGCGATGTCATTTCTGTTAACATTTTGGATGCTGAGCAGTGCAAAGAATTGAAAATGGGAGCCTACTTAGCTGTTGCTGCAGCAGCTACTGAAAATCCTCCTTACTTCATCCATTTATGTTTTAAAACTCCTACTAAGGAACGCAAAACAAAGTTAGCCTTGGTTGGAAAGGGATTAACTTTTGACAGGTAAATAGATTTCTATCTTCTATTATTCTTACGTTATGATTTGCTGAACATTTGTTTTCGTGTTCCCTAGTGGTGGCTACAACCTCAAGGTCGGAGCTGGTTCGAGGATTGAGCTAATGAAGAATGACATGGGAGGGGCTGCTGCTGTTTTAGGTGCAGCAAAAGCTCTTGGTGAAATTAGGCCTTCCAGAGTAGAGGTGAGTCCTTCCTTTATCATGCATCATTCGAGAATGTATGTATTTACTCGGAAGTGCATGTATTCAATTATCGTGTATGTTACGTTGCAGGTGCATTTCATTGTCGCAGCATGTGAAAATATGATCAGTGCAGAAGGCATGAGGCCTGGAGACATTGTCACAGCTTCAAATGGTAAGACAATTGAGGTTAACAATACTGATGCTGAGGGTAGGCTCACACTTGCTGATGCTTTGATATATGCCTGTAACCAAGGTGTTGAGAAGGTATTAATTCAACATTGTTATTATGCATCGGTCATCGATCACTTCAATGTGTATGTTTCCCCTGATTCACTGATTGAATTTATGCAGATAATTGATCTGGCAACATTAACTGGTGCTATTATGGTTGCTCTTGGACCTTCAGTTGCTGGTATATTTGTTTGTGACTCTATTCTTTGTTTGGTACACGTTGTACGTCTACTCTGCTTGAACTTCATTGGATATCTCGTATACGAATACAGGTGCTTTTACACCTAATGATGACCTAGCAAGGGAGGTTGTTGAAGCTGCTGAGGCAAGTGGTGAAAAACTATGGAGGATGCCTATGGAGGAGAGTTACTGGGAGAGTATGAAATCAGGAAGTGGCTGATATGATTAACACGGGGCCTGGTAATGGCGGTGCTATAACTGGTGCTCTCTTCCTCAAACAAGTACTCATCCCATCATCACTCTACGACTGACATTTTGGTACATTCTACATATCTTTATTTTCAGACGAGAAACATGACATTTGGTCTTTGTTTATGCAGTTTGTTGACGAGAAGGTTCAGTGGTTGCATCTCGATGTAGCTGGCCCCGTATGGAGCGATGAAAAGAAAAACGCCACGGGTTATGGTGTTTCAACTCTGGTGGAATGGGTGCTGAGGAACTAGTCAAGATGTTGATGGCTAAACATATTAGGGACTAATGATGTTTGGAAAAATAAATGCATCAAGTTGTATGAATAAAGGCAATAGTATAGGCTTTCTTGTTATCTTGATTAATAAAATGCCTAAATAAAATTGCCACTTTACCTTTTGAAATGAAATTTATTATTCCCGTCTTATTTACGTATGTCTGATAGAGATTATATTCACTCTAGTATCGTAACTTGGCGATGAAAGAGATATATATTTGTTTTACTGCTTGATGATTTTGTTTAAATTCTTCAAAATTTTTGTCATACTTAAGTTGACTTTTTAAAAAATATACTCCCTCCGTCGTATTTTATGTGGCACTTTTCGTTTTTTGAGAGTTAAATAGTTTAATTTTGACCGTACATTTGTGTATGGAATCTTTAAATTTTTTGAAATGAAATTTATATATTTGTAAACTACGTAAAGAGTACTATAAGTCACAATAATTGATAATTCAAAATGTTAAAAGGATCTATGAAAAATTACGGTAAAAAATAGACTTGTTTGAATCTGAAAATGCAACAAGTGTCGCATAGAATGGAATGGAAGGAATACTTTTTTTCTAAGGATTTGACACACATCTCTTGATATTTTTATACAATTCGGTTGAGATAAGAATAAAAATAGTAAAACCACCCAACCAACTATATTGTGAGTTTGATACAATGAAAGTCATTTTTCAAGGATAAGATTGGATCTCTTACTTTTTTTTAAGTCCATTTATGAAACAATGCTTCTTTCTTTTTGGCTCATCTTTAACTTTTAACTTTTTACATGACATGTTTAAAATCACAAGAATAATATTATGATACATTTAACGTATTTTTAGTTTAATACCACAAAATTTAAGTCTTTTTTACAAACGTTGTATCAATTTAAAACAGACAAACAAATTGAAACGAAAGGTGTCTTCTACTTATCACGGGCAGCTACCCATAGTTACCTTTTAGGCGAGATGATAAATGTAAATATTTATTTACACAATCAGTATCAGTTTAAAGAAGTTAAACTCTTACATAAATATGTAGCAATAAGACTAATAAACATAAATTATACATCAAGCTTTTTGCAAAGCTTAAGCATACAAAATTCAGTCAGTATCTTCACTGAAATCAGGTTCTGGAGGTTTTTGCAGCTTCATAAGCTCCCTAGCAGACTTGAGATTTCGATTCTTATGAACGCCTCGGAGAGCATTAGCTGCAAATCTCGATGCCAAGAACGTTGCCCCAATACTAAAAGAAGCTCCACCCGAGTTACTACTGGCCCCGGCCAACGCTTCTGCTTCTTCATCCTCTTTTCTTTGTAGTTCCATAAGTTTCCTTTTCGTGAAACGCCTCCATGCTGCTTGGATGAAGCAAGCAGCCCAAGTTCTCCAGTGCTGTGAGTAGAAACGGAACGTGTGCTGTACCTGTCTACTGTGGAGCTTTCTGAACTGACTGGCGACGAATTTCAACTCATCTGCTATTAATGCAAAAGCCTCTACCTCTGTCAGAGCTTTCACGGTACGAGTAGAAGATGGGAGGTTAGAACCTGATTTCGGGTCTAGTGCCCAAGTAAGAAGTTCTTCTCCACAGAAGTCGGATTCTTTTAACAAGCTGCGGTTGAAGAAACCGCTTCTCCCACCATCAGTTGTCACACTCTCAAGGCGCCCTCGTATCACAAAGAGCATTTCATCCACTGGATCTCCTTCTCGAACAAGGTAAGTGTTCTCGATGTACAAACAAGGTTTTAGATGCTCACAAATTGCATCAAGCAATCTCTCCTCCATATTTGCAAATAGAGGCACCTGAAAATTAACAATGGAATATTAGTAAAGTAAAACTAGCAAAAGACAATAACGTAAAGCTTAGCAGCTGTAGAATCGTTTGTCCCAGTCATAAAATGAATGTTCGGTCGTTCACTCTTAGAAGAATTATAACATCGGATTGTAGCAAGTAACTAGGAAAACATGAAATAAAAGAAAGAACACTACTAAGACCAGATCATTAGTTGCTATATTTTCTTCATTGTCGTTTTCCAGCAATTTTGATATGCTGCACTTAAGCCGAGGGTCTTTCGCAAACACTCTCTACCTCCACGCGGTAGGGTTAAGGTGTGCTTACACTTTAACCTACCCAGACCCCACTTGTGAGGTTGGGGTAGCAACTCTGCTGCACCACACGACGACAGTACCACGACTACAATGATACCTATGTTGCTCGGACTCTTCATAAATATCACCAGATGTGTGTTGGGTCCTCCAAGAGCTATGCATTTTTGGAGGACCTGACATTGGTGCAGCAACATTTTTGGAGGGTCTAGGCAACAGAAGAAACAAATATTATCGAAAAAGCAGGAATATATAATTTAGTTACCCTCTTCACTAGAGCCAGACAAAGATGACGTTTGATATCCCTCCTGAGATCCTTGGGCAAATTCTGAACTATATTTTCTTCATCCACTCCACGTGTTTCTTGCCACTTGTACTGATCATAGCCCCTTACCCGTTCTCGAAGTTCTTGTGGAAGCAATCTGTGATGCATCCATTGTTCCGAGTCACGCCTTCTAACTCTCATCTCTTCAAGTCGAATAGTAAGTGACTGAAGGTATGTCTGTGATAACAAAACACCAAACTCTTGAGTAACAATTTCCCATAGATACAAATGCCATTATCAGAAACACTTCAAAGAAACTGAAAATCATAAAATGAATTTATTGTGGAACAACAGTTTTGATTTTGATAGTGTAAGTAATTTTCATGCGAGTCGGTTGCTCGAACGAAAGGAATACATTACTCGGATGCCATAGTGCAAGTAATCCAAAAATTCTGTCCCTTGGCATCTTCTTCAGAATTTCTTTTCGTGAGAGTCTTCCATAATTTAAACTTTTTTTTTAAGTATCATTTTGGAAGAAACGAGAGATGGGAGCCAAAAGAAGAATAAACAACACTACAACAGCAACCGGTCTCGTACATAAAAATATCATGTCAAGGAGGTATCCGACAAAGCTTTATATCTGTGTAGTACTCTATGATGGCATATCTTAAGATCCTAAACCTCTATTGGAATTGTCTAAAAGATGCTATTGCTTGACATTTACCACAATCTCAAAAATTATGAATAATCCCTCTGTATGTCTCATGACTACTGTGAACTCTTAACTGTTGCTGAGAGAGAAGCACTTTACTTGACACTGCTGAGATGATATCAACATTTTGCAAGAACTTTTCACTTAAAACAAAGTGGAATTATCTAATGGCGTAAATACATAAACAAACCCTAAAACATCGCCTCATCTAGTAAGTAAGAACTCTAACTTTGCGAGTGCACATCTACACACCTCAACTTGGTTTCAACTGGCAACAAACCCCAATTTGTCTCCTCTGTGTCTCTTGACACCCGATGTGATGTGACACATAAATTTTCGAGGTGTCTAGCTGATCATTTTGTAAGTTAGGAGTGCTCAACTAACACAGTGGAGACGAGCTGAGGAGTCGATATGTGCATACACGAAGTTGGAGTGTTTACTTGCCAACTAAGGCCAAGTTTGATTGTGTTAATTATGTATTATGCCTAACTCATTTTTTCCGAAAGAAATACACAAAGTGCATTTTTTTAAATGATTGCACCAAGTGCGTTATCTAAACTGTCAAATGTCTTGAGCTCCGTTTTCATCAAGCACCAGTATCATAACCACTTAACAGTAAACTCTCACGTGCAACTGATCTTTCTGAAGTTTTCGCACAATATTATGTTAGTAACAAAATGACAAGCAATCTCTATAAGCTATGTCAGTGCAGAAGCTACATTACTAGCATTCGGTGATTACCTGCATGTTACCAATCAGCAATGCAAAGAGAATGAGCCCGAGTATCGCTAGTGCAATAGAGAATAAAGACTCCCCAGGATATGTGCTAGTTTGAAGTCCCTGTCCAAGGGTACTACACAAGCAAAACAAGAAAAAAAGAAATGCTATTAGAACAAGTTCACCAAAAGGTTTATTAACAATTGATATACCTTAGCATATGAAAAGAAAATAACGTAAATATTCATTTAATTAGTTTTCCGAACTCCAGCTTAGTCGATTCTTCTTTTCCTCTTCAGTCCTCCGGGTAAAGAACAAAACGAAAAGAAGATCCTACAACTAATATTGGTCTAACCAAATAGTGAATAGACAATATGAACCAAAAGAAGCATATAATACTGGAATATATTGAATTAGTGTTCACATTTAATTATCGGCTGTCATGATTCAGTGACAGGAAAACACTACTCCTCCGTAAACCAATTAGTTGATAGACAATATGAACCGAAAAGGCCATCGGAATATTAATCATTTAGATACGATGATAGCACACGATTAGGAGGAAATTTCTCTTCTCGTATTCAACAGGAAAAAGTATGGTCACACTGGAACTCTGGAACAATTGAATTAGGAACTTGACATTTTCTTAGTAACAGATAAATCTCTGCAGGCCATTGGTGCACAGTTCGAAACTCGGTGGATAATGGGTTCTCCCCTCCATCGTTTTCTACTTAAATACCAGGCTTTTATTTGCGGTAGGATTTGAACCTGTAACGTGCACCAAATTTACACATCACAAGTTGAGCTCTTACTTATACAAGTTACAACTAGACCAAAGTACCTATGGATGCTTGTCTTATATCTCCCTGTAACTCCTGCAAAGCCATATGGTTTTGATTTTTAATAACCACCCTATAATCTTGTTACCTTAACATAAAAAAAAAAAACTTGTTCACGTTGAATTATAGGCTATCAGGTAGGAATAGAACCTAAGTGAGCGCCAACAAGCAGCAACAACAACATATTCAGTGTAATCCGACGAGTGGGAATAGGGGAGGGGTAGAGTGTAAGTGTACATTACCTCTACCTTGGGATGTAGAGATTGGCTCAAGGAAAAACAATTCAATACGGTTCGAAAAGAAAGGCGGAAGTGGAAAAGCTATGGCAAAATACTATAGAGAGCATGACAAAGTGCCAAAAGGAAATAGTCATAATATGCAAAACCTAGTGCATGCAGACTTTTCATACAACTTTCAAATAACGTTTAATCAACATATAGTTGAGCAAATGGTAAACTACAATGAAGTAATTAGGCATAAATGTACACTTCAAACAACAAAAGGATTTAGTAGTAATGTGATGGAAAATTTTAATGCTTTGTTTTTCACTCCTTAGGCATAATCCCTGAAAGATACGAGAGACTAAAGCAAATGAGATAAGAATAATGTTAAAGAGTAAAGCCACCTTAAATTCTGGAGTCCCCACCACAAACAGTAGCAATATTTAGTCACAAACTTCATTGAGAAAACTATGCCTGATGACAAAGCCTGCGCGAAAATTCCAAAATCAAATGGTGGATTGTCACCGCTACGAGGGCATGCTCCATTTAAAACCGATTCACTGATATTGCTCCAAGCATTATACCCTGTCATGCCTTGATTGCCGCAGTACAAGAAATCAGTTTGGCATGTTGTGTTATGACTACAAGCTCTTTCCCAGCATGTATCATAGCGTTCCACAGAAAGCAAATACCAGAACGAGCCAACTATCTGAAAAGAACCAACGAGAATGGAAGCAAGGAACAATCAGAAATTCCACCTTGAGATAACCTTTGCGATGTTCTAGCAAAGATGAGCAATCCGAAATTTCAACGAAAAACCATCTAATTTGCATATGCTTTGCAGAACAAGTGAACATTTTCTAGTTGGAAAATGAAACAGCAAACTCCATATACATGCAATTGAACCAGAAAACGGAGAGTACACTGCATTTCTTTTAAACCAATACAACATGTATAGTTGTTGATAAGTTATTCACCTATTTTCAGATAATTGTTTCATTTACAAATTAACTTTACTTTACGGATGCGGTTTTAGCTTCAATCCATCTAAAAGACGATGAAGATGCTATAAACAGAGATTTCATATTAATAAAGATTTTCCCTCATAATGATCTGCAAAATGACAGAATACAGCAGGAAACCAGAACTTCCACTTCCGCAAAGAAGAGAATTTTACACAAAAGAAAATGGTATAATACATATATTGAACCCTAAACTTGGCTATAAATTTTAACTTTGACCTCTAACTTTCATAATGCACAAATAGGCACTTTAACTATCCAACTTTTAAATAAATAAACACATGAGTCCTACATGGCACAACACACGTAGAACACCACGTAAGACAAAAAATGACATGTAGGACATGTGTGTCTATTTGTTCAACTTTATACAAGTTTAAGTAGTCTAATTGTGCACATCCAAAGTTGAAGGGCATGAATGTGATTTGAAGCCAAATTAAAGGGCACATTTATGTATTATGCCAATGAAAAAAAGAAGATTTACATTTCAAAACAATGCAATGGACAGTTATCTTAGCAGAACAGATAGCAAACATTTCGGCAACTTAATAAGTAGCTTACGTGACTAGCAAGCATGTACAACAGCAAATAGGATGCAGCACCAGCCCATGCAGTTTCAGCGAAGACACCAGTAGTTCTTTTCAATTCTGACGTTAAGGGTATAACTCGGACAAATCTGGGGATATACTGGAGCAAAATGATATAGAGCAAAGCTTGTTTGGTAGCCAGAACATCAGAACCTGTCGATCTCTGCAGGAATCTCCCAGCTACAATCTGTATAGATCCATAAAAGGAAAAGCAAAGTGAATGACGATAGGCCATTCATCAAAAGAGCTGTATGGGCTGATTCATAAACAAATGACTTAATAAAAAGGCAAAGCATATCAAAACATCCATTGACAGTATCGTAACACAGAAAGGTAGAGAATCGGGATGAAAATCCCACTCAACCCCATTTAGGACAGTAAGAAGAAAGAACCTTGAAAAGTGAAAGCATGATATAACAAGAAGGAGACAATCATTTTGTGGCACACTTCCCTTTTTGGTCCGTCCCAAGCAGATCGTCACCTTTCTATAATTAGAAAGAATAGCTTTAAAATTCTCCTCTTACCCTTAATAAAATGATTTATAGTAAATTATAGCCAGAAAAATGGCTAAGGTTTGTTTTGGACCACAAATTTCAAAGGTCTACCTTTCTTTCTTAAATTATGTGTCAAGTTAAATGGTGCCACACAAATTAGGTTGGAGGGAGTATAAGGTCAGTGATCATAAGAGCCATGGTAGTTTACTAAAGGAAATAAAGTTTCAATGTAGAGAGACATAAAAAAAAAATAAAGCATTTCTTTAAACCTGAGGCAAGGGAACCACAGCAAGAAGATCGATGATAAAATAGGATCGCAAGTATCTTTTAGCAATCTGTCCAGGATCTATCACTAGTTCACCCCTTCCAAAAACTCGAGAGGATGGTGCAATATAAGCTGTACGAAACTGAAGTGCCATGTGAATAAGATAGAAAGCATCGACAACGGTACGAAGAGTTGTGGCTATCACAGCTAGCTTTCGATCAATCTGAAGGCAATTTGACTTGTCATCGAAAACTGGAAGGTAGAAAAACAACGGATCAACAGACACGGCCAGAATGCATGATATAACAAACAGCTTATTCCACAAGAGAAGGAATTTATCTTGAGGATCAAAAATCTTCTTCTCTGAAACTTTCAGATCTTCAGGAAATACTGCCTTAGAGACACCAAATCCAAGTGATCGACCAATCGACTTTAGTCCTTCAGATCCTTTTCTCATTCCTCTCTTAAAAGACCTTGACGGGCTGCTAGTTGCATGGCCAGAATGTCTTAAAGCTTCCATGATGAAGCCACATTTATTTGCAGCTACGGTGTTGACGCTGAGGTTAGTCCGCAATCAAAGTCATCCAACCTAAAAAAATGTAAAGAAGCATTATAAGGTAGGGATACTCGAGGAGAATTCATCAATGACTCAACAAATGGCCATAAATACATTGTTCATGTCAAGCCGCCCTGTCCATCAGCCATAAATTGCTTAAATGCTAAACATTAACATTTTAGGTGTTATCTTCAGTTAATAGAAAAATGTATCTTCCAACCAAAAGAGTGTCAAAAACAATCTTCAAAGACAGCGAGGGTAAGATGTTATCTGCAAAAAAAACTAGAGTCCAATGATTTACAACAAAATTTCCAACAGTTCACCATATAACACATTGTATTTAGCCCATAGCTCCGACTTCCATTTTCACATTAAGAACATACAACCCCCAAAATATATGCCGGAAGAAGTGGACTGAATAAAAGCTTAATAACCTTGATAAAAGATCATTAGTACCTTACAAACTTTTTTTTTGCTGCCCATCCAGATCTTGGGACTTCGAACCATAATCTAACATTTTGTACAATCAAACACATATATAGTAACTGCAATAAAGCAAAAGATTCTAAGTTCAGGATTAAAGTTCAATCTAACTTTTGGCCATGAAAGACTAAACATTGACATCAATTCTGCCTGCATATAGCAAGAGCCTTGCCATTTTACATCACTCTCTATTCGCATTAAAGCCATCAGGAGTCCATGTCAGTAAGCTTTATTTTCCAAAATGGAACCACGAGAAGAGAATCATATATTGAGCTAGTTCAACAACAATTTCTAACATGAAAGAAAAAGGAAAAACTAAGTTCAGAAAAATGAAGAAGGCAACTGGAATAAATTGAATTTTAGATGTTGCAGATCTTGCTTGTTCAATCAAGTGCTCTCAACATGACACAGATGTAAAAATATTCTAATTAGTCACTCCTTCACGATATCTCTAATAACCAATGCCCGAGTTACAAAACCGACGACCTTCCTGTAAAGCTTTGCTGCGACATATCTACCTAGCAGATTCATCCATTCTTCTCCTATCTTTCTTCCACCACCACCACCACCACCACCCCCTTTTTTTGAATAACCGTGGTGTCCAGGCCAGCTTGTGTGCACCTTGACTAATTTCACGAGATACCTGCCACCTCCCACCAACAGCAGGTAGTCCACCAAGGCTAGATCAGATGGGAAGAAACCACCTAGTATTCTTGTCTCAGTTGGAATTTGAACTTGAGACCTTTTGTTGCTCTCAACCCAATCTTTCTTCCCTCTATTTAACTGGGGAAAGCAAGGGGGAGGGGGAGGAAAGAAGCACAGTTATTGCTAAATCTCTTCACTTACTGTCTCATTTCCCTGAAGCCGTCCTCTCTTATGCCCGAATTAGAGAGAGAAGGGAAATCTAAAAGATATTATTCCCGAATCTTGCCAATATGTATTACTTGGTATATCTCTGCAGTTGATGCAGAAGCTATGTGATATCATTCCCTTAAGCTAGCTGATACACAAGAACTTCCCTCCTACTCTAATAGAGGATAGTTTGGAAGCTGTGAGATAAACGTTTTCAGCGTAGGATTTGCACGAGTCATATATGGGGCTAAGCTTTCTTCCTGTGAGGACTTAGCCTTTCTAGTTTTAGTAGTTATGTGAACCTGAATTCTACAAAGTCAGAGCATCATTGAAAGAAATGGTTCCCGTTCCTAACATATTCAAAAATATTGTTAAATTTATCAAACGAAACATTTTTCAGTCTTCACCTAAAACTAGGTGCCTTATCTTCCCAATTGTGTGTGACAGATTGGCTCCTATCACATAATCAGATAATTACATAGCTATTACAGTTTTCTTACCACATATTGAATTTCAGAAAATGGATATAAGCTAAGCTTGAGGCACAAGCTGAAACAAATACCATAAGAGAAACTTGTCTTGTACCGAACACATTTTCTGCTCACCTAAAACCACTAAATACATGACTTCTTAGCTGCAGTCGAGCTCCTAAGCATTAGATTATAGGTACAACAACCTATGTTAGCTGAATCGAGAAGTTTACAAATTTTCAACCAAAGTGTAAAGATGTCATATCCATTCCATTGCAAGTCCAACACACAAAGCTTCAGACATTTAATAGAAAACTTACTATCTCAAAACCGTAAGGTTAGCATCTTTTTTAAATATCATCATATCAGTAGACATATAAAAAGAATCTTGGTATCAGCCTTATTTAAAATCTCAAAAGTATTGCTCAGACACACAATCTCCGGGATAAGAAAAGAGGAACCTCTCACTAATCCAATAACATGTTCTAGGACATCTTTTTCCAAAAAAGAAAATCTGCATTTGACCAGGCGATGGGACATTTCATGATTAAACTGCTAGCCCATCCCCCAACACACACACAACTTAATCACCTCTCCCTCTCCCTCTTTTATCTCAAAATGCTCCAAATTGAAAACCGCCCAAATCCTAGTTCCATTTTTATGAATGATACATTTTTAGTGGCTTCTGCAAAATATTGACATGTAAGTGAACTGATAATCAAGAGAAGAAAAAAAACAACCATTAGTGCATAGTATTGAGGCTCTAAAATCATCCTACCTTTAAAAGACTTGATCTTTTTTCATTTCGACCACAGAAGGCACATACCCCACAAAATTTAACCAAATAAAGATTGACTCTTTATTGAACACTTCAGCCGTACAGTTGTACATAAATACACACAAGCAATTCATACAACAAAAACAGATGATAGCATAACCAGCAAATTAATCAAGACTCATTTAAATTTGTATACAAGCAATTCAGATAAACAGCAAACTAATCAAGACTCGTTTAACAAGTCAAAAAAGATAGAGAACACACAGAAAAACAAAGAAATAATCTCCGTAAATTTGCATAAAAGCAAAAAAGGGACAAACCCCATAGATGTTAACCAATAAAGATTGAATCTTTATTGACCCCTTCAGCTGTAAATTTGAATACAAACAATTCAGACAACAAAAACAGACAATAACATAACCAGCAAACCAGTTAAGACTCATTTAACTAGTAAAACAAAAATATAAAAAAAACCAAAGCAATAATCTCTGTAAATTTGTATATAAACAAAAAAAAGACAAACCCCATAGATGTTAACCAATAAAGATTGAATCTTTATTAACCCCTTCAACTTTAAATTTAAATATAAGCACTTTTAGACAACAAAAACAGATAATAGCATAGCAAGCAAACTAATCAAGACTCAAACTAAATGAAAACAAAAAACTTAATTATATTGCTAATTTAATGAAAATATTTACAAAAGTAAAGATAAAAAGAAGAATGGATCAAGAAAAGGGGACTTACAATTGAAGTCTTTGAGGTTAATCCATGAACTATGGTGCTAATGAACAGACAAGAGGGGAAGAAGGAAGTTGGGGGTGGGGGTGGGAATGTGAAAGCAAAGATAAAGTCAAAAAAAAAATAATCTGAGCATATAAATATCAATTGGATGGCACTAAAATCAGAAGTCAAAAGTAAGGAACAGAGTAGCAGAAGTTAGAAATAAAATAGACCAAGTTGAGACATGAATACAGTTACCATCCACCCCACCCCCCACCATAAAGACCCCACTTTTCCTCAAGATTTTTTTCCTTTTTTTTCACTTTTAACTTTTTCAAAGTTAAATTTTTAAATATGTCATCGAAATTTTGAAAAAGGATTTGATTATATTATCTGTTGAAAGTTTGGCTCACTTGAGAGACTTATATGTGTCGTTCATTAAAAGTTTAATTCATCTTCAATGATATAGTTAAGCATTTTTTGTTCTTTTAATAACATTTTATTATAATTAACTTTCTGATTTTACTTTTAATAATATACTATTGTTGGTACAAAATCTAAAAGAAAAAAAAAAGTTGTAATATTTTTTACACAATAAAATTCCAACAGTACTTTGCTACGAGCAAGTTGATGATTTTTTTTTAAAAAAAAAAATGTGCCAAATTGACTACTTTGTGTATATTTTATCTGATTCATTTTGTTGACATGGTTACAAGAAAATAACTTATTAAAAATAAAAATCAAGATATTATTAATGAGTTTTTCACCTTTGTTTTTATTTTAATAAATATGAAAAGAGATTAATGCAATTTAATATAGTAGTATTAATTGAGATCAAAGAATAAATAAAAACAGATAATATCATTTAAATATTATAAAAATTCTGTGTAAATTAAATATTAAGTATAAAAATGGATTGAAGAGAGTAAATATAAAGTGAAGAGAGTATTCAATTATTTTTTTAAGTATACATGAATGAATTATGTGAATATTAAATACATGCACACATTTTCTAATATTCTTTGTCTTTTTCATATAAATAAAGCATTTCTCATTTTATAATTTTTTTAAAAAGTTGTTAAATATTACCAACAATTTCAATAATTTTCTCTAAGTTTTCTCATATTGACCCTTTGCATATATATAGTCACACATGGGTTGAATGGAAAAAGAATGTTCACTTCCTTTTGTTCCCTTTTCCTTTTATATATACAAATTCAGATTCAATCGAGCTTATGAATATTTTTTTCAAAACATCAAAACACAAAAAGATATTGAAAGCAACTTAGATATTAAAGTAATAAAAAACGTTTGAGATGAATTTTCGACTATATAAATATAATAAATGGTTGATTTATTTTTATTTATTAGAAAAATATGAATAGATTTTGGTAGAGTATGATCTGGCTTGTATCCAATTTTCATATACTTCTTGTGATTCAACTACTTGAAATTAAAGATTTCTCACTTGATTTAAAAGGAATATATGAGAAATATAACGCAACATAGTAAAACACAAAAAGTAGTGAATAGTAAACCAAAAAAAATCGTGTATTTATCTGTTTAATTTTATATATTATGTTTTAAAAGCGCACAACAAACTTACCAATATAATAATGATTCCAACTTTCATGCCACCACATCCACTAATTGGAGAATAATTCGTTGAAAAGTCTCGGCAGGTAAAATGCTCTCTAACAAATGCGATTTCATATTTAGCGAGACTCAAATCTGAAATCTCCGATTAACGATGAATGAGTACTTACTACTCCAGGTAAATCCTTGTTTTTTTTATATGCATTGTTTTTATAACTAGATTACACTATAAACTTATTATAAAAAATGTACTGGTAGATATGATTGTGTAATCTCATTTTCACTTACCACCAAAACAAAAATACTAATAAATAAATAAATAAATAAGCAAAGACCAATGAAATGTTCATAAATAAATCATGCACACATCAATGCTAATTAAATATAAAAAAAAACCCTAAAATTTAAAACTTAGACAGTATTAACTAATTAACCTATGCTAGAACAATAATACTTGCCAACATAACAATAAACCCTCCAATTATCTCAACTTTCATGCCACTACTTCCACTCTCCGGAGCCGGAGCTGGAGCCAGTGTCGGAGCCAGAAATTTCACTCGAATTGATGAACTATGTTTAGGTGACAAGACTATCACATCAAGTTTTTGGCCCTTTTCACAATGGCCATTTGCTCCACTTATGAAGAAAAATGGGCCTGATCTGTCAAGCAAAATCTTGGTTACTCCATCTTCATATGATTTAATGGGCTGGGCCTTATTGCAATTGTTGTAATCTTCTTCATTTACTTGTAATACTGAGTCTGACTTTGGATCATAATTCAAAACTGTAAAAAAATAATAATAATATATAATTAGAAGGGTAAATAGAGAAATTAACTTCTCACACACACATATATACGAGATGAAACAATAAAGTTGTCTTCGTGTATGTTCGAGTCGTGAAATTAGTTAGTAATGTATGTATATTTAATATATCACACATTGCTTAATCAGAGAGAGAGATACGAACAACAAAAAGAAATATAACCATTCTTTCTTTTTTTTACAAATGAAACGAAAAGAGATACAATCAAGCTGATTAACAAAATCTCTAACGTGAGAAACAAACGATTAATAATTTGTTTCTAGAAGTAATTTTTTTAGAATCTAACAAGATTTTTTGAACTTTTTTTATTCGAAATCACAACGAAACGAAATGTACATCCTTCTCAAACCTTATATATATAATGAAAATAAAATAAAACAAAACATCAACTTGTTAGCATGAAATGGACATATATATAATATAAATCACCAAAAAAAATCATGTTAGCTATGAGTTATTCACAAAATATTAAAACAAACTTGCTAAACAACAAAAATTCATTTAACAAATCATACAAAAAAAAATTATTAGCTATGAACTATTTAACGACAGATTAACGTAAAATAAAAATCGTTACCAATATAATCTCCAATCCTAAAACGAGTTTTTTCAGCCCACTTATTAAATTCATTAGGTGAAGAAGGAATTTTCCAAGAATTTTCTTTTCCATCAACAATAAATTCTCTTGCTTCACTAAAACAATTTGTGAAAAAACTAATAATCAAAAAATAAGCTAAAAAGGAATAATTAGAATTTTTCATTTTTTTCCCCCTCAAGAAAAAATGCCAAACTTCTTTTTTTTTTAAATACAAATTTATAAAAGTGATGAATAGAAATAGCAAAGAAGGAAATATATGTTTATATAAAAAAAAAACGTAGGGGTTTTTGGCATTTTTTTCTAACTATATAATATATAAGTTTTTGATTTTGTTAGGAGTCTAGGTTTGGAATGAGGTTCGGAGTGATTGAAGCTATGCGAGGATGACACGTAGGAATTATGATAATCCAAAAAAATTGGGTTGGGAAGTTTGAATTATGATTATTTAAGTGAATTTTATTTGTCATTATTTCCCATATATAATATATAATAAATGGCATAATGAGCCGTTTCATTTTATTAGTCTTTTAAGTAAAAATTTTAAAATGTACAATTTTTTTAAAAAAATATCCCACTATATTCGTACACAATTTTGAATTAGTCGAGCTTTAAAATAAATATTTAGCATTGTATAACAACAAAATTTGAATGCAAATTCAGATTAATCAATTTTTAAAACAAATATTTAACATTATAATGAACAAAAGAAATTAAATCACATAGTTTTATTAATTCATTGATTTTTCTTTTTTAGTTACGTACACCCCCGAAGAACTCTATGTAACAAATTTAAATGTAAATTCAAATTAATCGAGCTTTCAACAAGTATTTAGCATTGTAATATATGAAAGAAATTCAATAGCATAGTTTTATTGATTTTCCTATCTCGTACACCCCGAAGAACTCTATGCAACAAATTTACTCGAATCATAAATAAAATTATGAAAAAAATTCCGTTGCCGGGACTTGAACCCGGGTCTCTCGGGTGAGAGCCGAGTATCCTAACCAACTAGACTACAACGGATCTTGTTATGTACTATTCAGTTGTATTATTTTAAATTTTACTTTACTACAATTACTAATTCTTGTGAAAAAAAATAACACTCTAGCATAAAGTGTTTTTTCCTTTAATGTTTCTTACACAAAATGAATATAATTTAATCAAGAAAAACATTTGAAGGGTCCAAAATTCAATCCAATTACCTAATTGTTACCACTTTGAGTTTTTTTTTTCTTTCCTTTATTTGGGCATTTCATAGGTAGTACATCGCGAGATAAGATACAAATTGCCTTCAAAGGATATGGTGGAATAGTAAATACTCAATACAGTGGCGCTTTGCACCCCAAAGTAAGACTTCCCGGTGCATCTAGATTACTCGAGACTCAAAGCAAATATCAAACACCGGATCCATTTGTTGTGTGTGGGGGTGGTGGGGGGGGGGGGGGGGAGGGGATTTGAGGAGTTAATAAACTAATATACACCAATTAAGTCAAATGATTCACCTTCAAAATCAAAATAGTATAAAATCACAGATGAGTGAATACAGAGTTACAAACAGAACTGAAGCAGCAACAGACAAAGTGTTCAACACTTCTTAAACAGACATTACAAGCCAAACTGAAATGTAGAGGCAGATTGTGTGTTCTCATTTGAGGAGGGTCTTCACTATGGACTTGACATTCAGCTTCTTCAAGTCTGTGTAAGACTGACCACATCCCACAAACATGACCGGGGCTCCAGATATGTAAACCATGGACAACGCTGCTCCCACCTGCAGAAAACGCTGACTATAAGAATACACAACAACACTAACTACTATACTTTGATTTCAAACTCAAAGTGGGAATCGACTATGTGAATCCTGTCGCTCCATTTAAGGTTGTCTCAAGCCAATATCGTTCAAAAATAAGGTAGATAAATGTACTAGAAATCCTCTCTATTTTCTACCGGTATATATCTGATATGAGTAGAAATCATAGGACCTAAAGTAAACATGCTAACGTGACTGAAATATATTTTGACATTTGATTGTTGATATCAGAATGATAATCAAATAAGTAGGAAGAAAAAACATTAACTCGGTAAAGTAGCATAGGCTGGCATCAAACTTGTTAATGCGAAAAGACCATGACTGTGTGTACCTTATCATCAATGGTGTCAAACTTGGTAAGGAGAATTCCATCAATCAATCTTGGATTTGGTGAGGGTGAAAGGTCACCTAGTTTCTGCAGATATAAGAGAATGTGTCAATTATGGAACAAACGTTAAAATTATGGGGAAGTTATCATCACCATTATAGGCAAACCTGGTTGAACTTTGATAACTGATCAACAGCGTCATTTCCAACAAGTGCCTCACCAACAAAAAGGATCAGATCTGGACTGTTCACATATATAAGCTTCGAAAGTGCTCGCATCAGTGGTTCATTATCCTGTGGAATATGACAGTTGTGCATGAATTTGAAGGAAGTGAAAGATAAAACAAGAAACAAGAGTATCTCAGCTTGCAAGGGTTGATGCTGAAACTAACAATAGAGACCCCTACTAGTATCCAAGACAATATTCTACTATTATTCTGTGTATAGTGCTCATACAGGGACTTCCTAAAACTGCTAAGAAATTCAATCATACCTGCATTCGACCAGCTGTATCAACAAGAACGACATCTGAACCATTTCTATTAGCCTCCTGGATTGCTTCCTTGGCAACAATAGCAGGATCCTTCTCATAGCCCTTCTCAAATATGGGGACCTGTTAAGACAATACAATGTCAGAAACTTAACTTGTGCAATCTCTCCCCCAGCGAAGACCAAAAATTCGATCAAGTACAAAATTTCCAATCATGGCATACCTGAAGTCTTCGAGCATGAGTACGGAGCTGCTCTACAGCTCCAGATCGAAATGTGTCACACGCAGCCATCATAACATTGACCTTGTGCTGCTGAAGCCAATAAGCAACCTGCAGCAGAACATGTAAAGAACCCCATGAGAAGATATACAAGGCCCTTGAAGTAAAAGAAAAAAGAGCAATCTTAGTTTACCTTCGCAAGATTGGTAGACTTTCCAACCCCATTTACTCCTACGAAAACCACAACATATGGTTTCCCCTGTTCCTTTGCGGCATGAACATCCCTCAAGATATCAATGGAACGTTTAGGAGTTAAGATCCGAACAAGGGCCTCCTCCATTGCTGCCTGGTTTGATCAATTCAATACCCCATATTAGTATGTTGAGACTATGCCAACAACAACACCATACCCAGTATAGTCCCACAAGTGGGGTTTGGGGAGGGTAAAGTGTGGCGGTGTACACAAACCTTACCCCTACCTTGGCAGGTAGAGAGATTGTTTATGAAAAACCCTTGGCTCAAGAAATGTTCAGACTATAAAAAGCAAAAAAATAGATGAAAAGAATTTTTCAAGTTTTGGCATACAAAAATTCAACTTTGCAACACCTTTCCATTTTAACTCTTCCTTTTATCTTTAAAGCCTGGAAGATGTTGAGGGGTATGCTTTCAAACACCTTGGATTTGAACACTTCTTAAATGGCATTGTTCCTCCAAGTGCAAGTACTTTAAAGCAACTAAGTACTCTACTCTGTAAATGAATGAAGGTCCCAACTCTCTTACCTGAACTGTTGAAGAAATTCTTGTAAATGAGCCAAGCTTTTTACCCTCCAAACTTGCTGCCACTGATTCACAAAGCTTTTCAGCAATTTCTTCGGCCTGTAAGACATGTGTAACACTCATCAACCAATTATAGAATGAAAACAACTGATAGAAACATGGTCATCAATTGGGAAGGTGGTTAAGGAGAACGAACGCGGGTAGTAAGAGTAAAGCAACTGTAAACTTACCACATTCTTGGTCATCAGCCTGTCCTTAAGAGCTTTTAAAGCTGGCTCTAAGTCAGCTTTGTCCAAATTTGCCTTTCCTGCGATACTGGAGACACAACAGCAACCAGGTTATGCTCAGCATTTAACAGTTAGAAAGATCCATTATCTTGGAAGTAATTTTTTTTCCCATTTCTCTTGAATATTTATCAATTTTCACATAACACCCCAAACCAATTATCTTCCTTAGTGTCTGATAATCAAATTAGGCAAATTTCATGGTGATTAATAACGGACGTGGGTGAAAATCTTTCTGATCTATATATACCCATTGATCCATTTTGTGAGGACTATATGATAGAAATATCAGCCATTTCGTTAACTAATTTTCATAAAAATGCTCATTTATTTTCGTGAATCAGGAGAATTACCTCTGGAACATGGATGAGAACCAACCTTTCTTCTTTGCCTCGACCTTGCTGTCTTTCCCTGGCTCTTCATCCTCCTCAGTCTCACTATCACTACTCACAATCTCCTCTTTGTCCATCATACTCTCACCTTGAACTGCTTCTACAACTGCTGTATTTCCATTTGCATTCTCACACATAGGATCCGTGAAATCCAATTTCGACTCCTTAGGTGAATCATCCCAGACTCTGTTCTTCTTTGCCTTTTTTGTAGGCTCTGCCTTGGAATCCTTTACAATGGTATCGGTTTTCTTTCCACCTTTAGCCCTAAGCTTCTGTAGCTTATTTACATCAAAAGCCCCAGAATCAGAACTTCTGTTCTCTTTACCGTTAGCCTGCACTACTCCATTTCCCTTACTAACTTTAGAACGCCCATTGCCATTTTCCATGGCACGACTATTTACTTTATCACCATCTCCACTATCATTTCCTGATTCAGCACCACTCTTTTTTTGATTGCCTCCATCCATAATGCCCTTCTGCACTTGTCCTTGCTTCTTACCAAGATTATGGTTTACAGGCTTGCTCACCTGCTTCGATTTCTTCATTTCCTCAGCACGTGCCTCGGCCTCCTTCCTAAGCTGCTGAAATACATTGTCAAATTCATTGTAGACAGTTCTTTTTGGGTCATAAATCTCTGAGAATTCCTGCTTAACCATAGAAAGCAATTCATCCACATACAATAGATGAAGAATTTTCTGATACACAGCAACAAACACAAGCCCCAGATCATTGTGAAACGTCCATTTAAGAGTGTATGCAGCTCCTGGTACATCATAGTTAAATGAAGCGGCACCTGAACGTTCCTCCAAAAGACATGAACGAATCAATGTGTCAATTGGAGAACCTCTAAGAGCATTTCCAAGCTCCTTACACGTCCAGAGGATCAAGCCCCCTCTAGTGAATATCAGTAACTGCTCTAACATCTCTGGTTCTAAATATATACCCCTGCAAAAATGGAGGTTTTTAAAATACTCACATCTCAGCCAGAAAATTAAACCCCTTAAAATAATCAAGGTTAACTTCAAAAAATATCTAACTCAATTTTACATAACAGATTCAACAAATGGTATTTTCTTACATAAATGAGGAAAGTGAAGGAATCAAGAACAGGAAAAAGCTTACCCTATATCAAACTCAAGGTTCCGTAAGAGATTCAACAAATGCTACTTTCTTACATAAATGCAGAAAGTTAAGCAATCAAGAACAGAAAAATACTTCAAACTCAAGGTTTCGTAAAAGATCCAACAAATGCATTTTCATACATAAATCAGAAAAGTGAAGCAATTAACAGTATAAAAAGGCTTATCCCCTATCAAACTCAAGGTTCGGAAACAGATTGAACAAATTACACTTTCATACAAAAACGAGGAAAGCAAAGGATTCAAGAACGGAATAAACCGTGTACACCACCACACAGAGTAAAAAAAAGGCAACTTTCAGCAATTAAAGACAGAGAAAATAATCAAAATTTATACAACCATACAAGTCCTCAAAGCAACAACCAAAAACCCACTACTCGTTTGGCTCAAGCAATTAAACTGCAATCATCAACAAAATCTGCATCTTTCAGATATACTTCCTCAATTAAGCAAAAGGAAAGAAACCCCAATACTCATTTTTCACAATTCAAGCCATCAGACTACAATCCACCAATAAAAATTCCTTTTTTTCCTTCAATTCAACAAAAAGAAAGAAAACCCAATATAGATCGAATCTCAAATACCCAAATCAAAGCAACCCCTTTAAGCAATTCTACAAAACCCAATACTCATTTATACAAAACAAACCAAGTATACAATCCTAATTTCTTTACAATTCGATACAGCTAAGATTTGTTTACAATTTTGATAATTCATGCCTAGCTAAGTTTTTTTCCCCCATTTTTTCCTCAATTGACCAAAAACAAAGAAAACCCAATAGAGATCGAACCTCAAACAACCCAAATCCAAGCTCCCTTTTAAGCAATTTTCGAAACAAAACAAAACCCAGATCGAAAACAACATAACAAATCCAGCTAACCCCAAAAAAATGCAAAATTTACAATAAATAAACAATATCTGTAACTTTAACTAGAAGAAAAAGGATCATACCTATCAAAATTTGTCGAGGAGTCTGAAGAAGAAGGAAAAAAAAAAGGCAAATCGATTGAATCGAAAGAAAAAAAAAGAAAAATTGAAGGGAAAAAATGGATTGCTTTGAATATTTATATATATATAAAAAAAAAAGGCCACCTTTGACTTTTTGTCAATATATGTGTGACTCTCTATTTAGGTAAACTAAATTCCATGTGGAAAAGATGTAATAAAATTTTTTTTATCGCGTTCGTTTTTTATTAGATATCTTAAATTCAAATATATAGTCGTTTTTACTATCAATATTGACCTTTTTTATGTTCACTAAATTTAGTTAAACCCTTAATATAAATATCGAGTCATGTTATTATATGGTTTGTCTTTTATGAATTCTGATCAAATAAGCTCGTTTTTTCAGATTGTATAAATTAATAAGAAAACGATGTGTAATTCCAAATTTTTATGATATAAAAATATAAATTTTTGCTTTGTAAATGAGATATATATCTTGAAGCAAAAAAATTAAACATTATCATGTAATAGAAGAGAATATACAAATATCTTATATTGGAAAGTACGAATGAAAAATATAAAAAGAAAAATAATAATAATTCAATTTGAGCCATATGAAGAAACAATATTACAATAATGTATTTTTTTCTATATTTGAATTTGCTTCGAAAATAGAGTCGATGATATTGAAAAGTATGAATGAAAAATATAAAAAGATTAGTAATTCAATTCGAGCCATATAAAGAAACAATATTACAATAATGTATTTTTTTCTATATTTGAATTTACTTCGAAAATAGAGTCGATGAATGTCGATAAGCACGTTGATATTTTCCTTTTTCAAGTTCACTTTGGATTTATGTTAATTAAGATTAATTACAAATAAAAGTCAATTAATATATTTTTCTTTTTCAAGTTTAGACTTTAGATTTATGTTAATTAAAATTAATTACAAATAAAAGTTAATTACTCATAGTAAAGAAAAAATAGCACATATAAATAATCGTGGTATTTCATTTTGTTTGAGTGTCATTTCTCGATAATTATTACAAAGGAATAATAAATATATTTTATCGAATGACTATTTATTTATCGTCAAATATTTTCATCAAATCAAATAAATGGACGGAATAAAAAGGTTGATGTGAGTCAATCAACTAATTTAATCTTTACAATAAGATAATAAAAAATTTGATGTGAGTCAATCAACTAATTTAATCTTTACGATAAGGTAATCAACTGCACAAGGATACGATAGTCAGGTACATTAAGCTCTCATTATGCGCGAGATGAAGGAGTGATACCAACTCTTTGATAATTCTATTTCACTATAAAATTGAAGATTTAAAACTTTCAATCCAAAGTTTCTACAGTGCATAATCTTACCAATAAATTACAATAATAATAAAAATTGTATTCATAATTTTAATGCAAAAATAAACTTAGTGTCTGCTAGCTTACAAAATTGAAACTCATGAAGATAATTTTTTTTACTGTTTGAATCCTTCACCAAGGCCTGCTGGCATTCCCAAACTCTGAGCAAGATCACTCATTCTTTCCTTCATTGCCTGAAAAAATAACGACAACAAAATAACAAGAAGATACGAGTACTAGTAAATATCGGAAAATATGATCCTACATGAAATCCTTCACGAATGAGGATTACTCAGTCGATGAAGTGCCTTTACGTCCAATTGTTAGGTCGGAGGCTCGTGGCACATTAGGGTATACATAGTGAATCGTTGTTTTTTCTTATAATTGTGGTGCTCGAGTCAAGCTTGTTGTGGTACCTGCTACTTCCCATTAAGACAAGTACCTTACTATGTTGCTCTAACTCTCCTAAAATGGTGTTGCACGCTCGTGATAGGTACTCATCGACATTATTGAAGAGTTCATGCAATATAGGTATCAAGTAACTCTGTCAACCAAGACTTTTGGAAGATAGAGAACCTTCGTTAAGCCCCTTAAGTGAAAGGGTTTGACATAGGACAGAGTTTAGGAGACGATGTTAAAGGAAATAAGAAAGACTTTTGGAATTTGTGATCTTAAGCATGTCAGTCATGTCATGACGTTTTTGTGGTATTAAAATCATGTCATGAAGGGTGAAAGTTTTAAGTCGTATTGTTTCTAAATATAAAACAGAATAAAAAGGAGAGAGTGTCACGTAAAACGGAACAAGTTTGAGGTTCTTACCAGTACACTTTTCTGATGCGCATCCTTGTATGCCTCTGTAATCAGAAGTGAGAGTTTCTGCACAAGAAAAATAGTAAAGGCCCTTTAAGGATTCGGCACAAATCTTCATATATTGTGATACTCCGCAGGGCTCCCTGGAAGACGAAAGCCACAATGCACAGACCAATCAAAAGACACAACTCAGATCCCTGGCCAAAAAATTTCTTCTTGAAATGTGGGATTTTACTACCGATTACAGACACCTTTCACTAGTAAAGAAAAAGAAACGACTTGGCTAGAGTACTGTCAAACTAAAAATAGCCACAGACTAAAGAAAAATGGGACTACAGAAGGTAAAACATCCTTCACGCTGGCATGTTGTTTTGGGGGGTCATGTATGGTCAGCATCTTAAAAACATCATTTGTTCCGATATTGTTTGGCTGCTATAGAGAACATATAATATGATACTAGCTCAAAGCAGCCGTGCCACTCTAAAAAGCCTAAGCGTGATATAAATCAAAAGCTAGCCTGAGACCTAAAAAAGCAAGGTCGAAATCCATCCCTCTTTTTCCTGTATTTGACTACTAGGGCTAATGAACGACCCTTTGATCTATGTCGTTCCAAGTTTAGCTAGGTCTGATTAACTATACAATATAACATAACATGATAGATCGGCTTTTGCAGAAAGCATGATTGTTATAGTGAAATGTTATTTGACGGACAGGTCAAATAAGACAAGTACATAACTCAGATGATCTATGCAATATATACTCACTTCTGGGCCTAATGCCATGGCAGCCTCAGTAATTTCAGTGCGTATCGGCTGCTGATTTCCAGACAGTGTTACCTGCAAATGATGTAAATATTTATAAGTTCCCATAAAGTGTATCGAAATGGAATTTCTCCACATTTTCTACTTATCAAGGTCTGTCTACAGCAACTGTGCCTTAGTAATCGAAGGTTTTGACAAAAATGACACGAGAACTACTAGGCCAAGGCTGAGCATTCTACGTCTAGAACATAGGTTGTTCAATTGTGTGCAGACCCAACACTTAAGTTGCCAAGTAAATTGGCGAGAAAATAACAAAAATGTTCCCTTCTGTTTGAGGGTAGGTTCATAGTCATTAAGTTGCATTGGACAGTTTTGGTAATTTAAATTTGCCAAAAGTTAAATACTTTAGTCCCTGTCAAATATTAATGTTCAATAGATTTGACGGAAACAGTAGAAGTATTTTTTTAAATCATAAACATCAAGAAAGTCTAATCAAATTCACGCAACACTGAGAATTGCACTAGACAATAAAAAGTATATCAGAAATTACCTCAAAATGTTGTAGCAGACTCTAGAAATAAATAAATCAAATAGCAGAAACTAAGAAATTGTTTCATTAAACGTGAGTTCCCACTAATGTCCATTTTTTCATACCATCAAATCTAACCAACAAAGCTCCACAAATATTAGATGGGGACTAAAAGTGGCAAAACTAAAAAGAGCAAAACTGTTTCAAGGGACTATATTGAACCTAAACTTAAACATAAAGGGACCATTTTTGTCATTTTTCTAAGATTGGTTCCCAGATTGCATCTTAACTTCTGGAATAGTCGAATTAGTACATCCATTCGATCAGAAGTGATCTCTTCAGTTAGATGACACCAAAATAAAACAAGAAAAGAACATACCTTGATTAGTTCACCTTCACAGTATCCATCAAACTCTGCTCTGGAAACACAAACCACCAAAAATGAATATTTATGTGGCATTCTCTTAAAGATTAGCTCACATAAAGGTTAAAAACGTATTATAAAGTGCACTATTAGAAACATACAAAGCAAGCTCTTTTTGTACTCGCACTGCCTCAACTTGAACCACATTTTGCGCCTTCTTCACTGTCTCGTATAAGTTTTGCATGTTGCCAAAAAGACCTGCCTAAGAAAAATATAAAAAAACCTGAGGTTGGTTACAGTGAAATAGCATAACATTGTTAACGAGTGAACCAACAGGTGACGCATAAGAAAAGTGAATATAGAATAATTAGTATGCTTATAATAGCCAATTTGGCCAAGCTTCTAAAATCAGCTAATTTTGGGAAGTGTTCTTACAAAAAAGTACTTTTGACGAGAAACAATTTGTGTTATGCTAACCGATCTAAAAAAATACTTGAGCAGCAATTAGTATCTGGTCAAGCTATCACAAAGTGTTTCCACATATATTTTCTTAGAAGTGCTATTCAAAAATCGAGAGCATATTTTTTTATTTTCTCAAAAATAGCTTTTGCTTCTACTCAAAAACAGTTTTTCTTCTCCAACAAGTTTGGTCAAACACCATCTTCAGAGTGTCCAGTGAAAGTAAAGTAGTAAACAACAACATATAAGCCTTAAACTTATACAAGTTGAATTCACTAATTTCATTTTTTTTCGGTTCATAACTCGGTTGATAATGGACCCATCCCTCTAACCTTCTCCCTTTATCAACTTCTTTACTGGCTGAGGATATCAAGCTTTAAAGTTAAAAACAAGATTTTCCAGCAGACAGCTCGGATAATTTGGTTTGTGATTCTCCTTGTGATGAAGACATGTTCTGTTTTATTCGGTTAATCAACTTTATGAGAATGGCAGCTACTAGAAGCAAAAATATAAATATTAACAATAACACTAGCAAGCTACTATAAGAAGATTTTTCATTCTAGTCTTTATGTGCTTACACATAGCTTAAAATGATCACCGACAAGTCATCAAACAAGATAGCTCCAATGTCAGTGTAACCAATACAATATTATACAAGGAAAGGGATATACTCAGATACCTTTGAAGGAGCATCGTTGTTCTGCTCATTATTGTCCTTTTTTCCTCCAAACAGAGAACATATTTGCAGAGGTCTGGGATTATCTAAAACCTTTCGACAACCAGGTCTTGATAAAGTCCACATACCAACTTGATTTGCATTAGGACACGGTTTTTCTGCAAAGACCAAAATTGTAAAAAAGGAAATATTTTTTGTTAGTGCTTAATTTTTCCAGGGAGGTATAGCACTTGTAAGAGTAAACTGAATGCTGAATAAAGAACTCCAAGACGGTACTCAGGGAGAAAACTGTGTATCAAGCCTATATAAAACTATAACTCAGTAAATTTCAATAAGCATATTAATACATTTTCTTTTTCGAGTTAAATGTAAGATTTATTTTAGTTAATGTAAGTGGAGAATTCACATTAGTGTTTATTTTGATTATAAAATTCATTGAATCAGTCCAGAATTCCTTCCTCGAATTTGGTCAAAGCACTAAAAATTAGTTGACCAGGTTAGGTATGGGTCCCACACCCACTCCACATTGTGTCGACAAGGGTGCGGCACCAAAAGTGAAGAGACCGAGCAACTAAGGTTGTTACTTATCTACAAATCATGGATAAGTATCAAGTCATTTCATTTTGTTACTATAATTTTCATCATAAGGGCAATCTGACTTCCATACAACATTTGGTTAGAAATTAAATTATTAACCATAAAAGAAATTCTTGACGCGTATAAATAACCACAACATTTAGCTTTTTATAAGTATCATTTCTCGAAAACAATTCACGAATAAACTTATATTGATTGAGGATAAGAAAACGAAAGGGCATCAGAATTACACATCCCCGAGATACAGTGACCTAATCAACAGAAGGCGCAGCGTGTTACTCAAACACGAGGTAATTAAGTTTGAAGCTTGGTTAAATCTATTATTCCCTGTGTAAATAATTGTTTGAAACACCTCTAAAATTTCATTGCTTGAAATTTTAGTGGTTCTTCACACACAAGTCTATACTTCATGTTGAAAATACTGAGTCTGATTCATTAACTTTTTGCTACATATACTCTGCTACTTCTTTATGGCAATAGGCACAAACTTAACATAAACATATATGTGGGATTTTCTTTTATTTTTGTTTGTGTATGTGTATATAGAACTTACAAGGGTTTGAATTTTTTGTGCTTAACATCGAAATCAGACTAATCCAAAAAAATAAATTGTTACCTTTATATCAAGAAGCTAAAAGCTTCGACCGAATGTCTCTCTTGGGTTTTTAGGGTATTTTGTAAACTATCAACACAACCCCATTAGCAATTAAGAACTATACACTATACACGAACATAAGCCATAACACCAACAATGCCTTAGCCCAGACTCCCCAAACAAGTTGGATAATGGATAGAACTTCCAAGGGTTAGAAGAACTTGCGATTATCATCGAAACTAGAATTTTTCAACAAAATAAAGTTGCTAACTTTATATCAATAAAGTTAATAGCTTCAACCGAATGTCTCTCTTCATTTTTTTGGGACATTTGGTATACTATCAACACAAACCCATTAGCAATCAAGAACTCTACACCAACATAAGCCATAACAACAACATCTTAGCCCCAAACAAGTTGGATATAAGTCTATAACTTACAAATCCAAGGGTTGGAAAATTTTGTGATTATCATCAAAATTAGCATTTTTCAACAAAGAAAGTTGCTAACTTTATATCGAGAAAGCTAATAGCTTCGACTGAATGGTTATATTCATCTTTAGGGCATTTTGTAAGCTTTCAACACAACCCCATTAGCCATTAAGAACTCTACACCAACATAAGCCATAATGACAATAATGCCTTAGTCCCAAGCAACTTGGATAGAATTTCCTTCCAAGGTTGGGAAATTTTGTGATTGCCATCAAAATTGCGATTTTAAACAAAGAAAGTTCCTAGCATTACACAAGAAAGCTAATAGCTTCGATGAATGGCTATGTTTGTTTTTTAAGGCATTTTGATAAAAACTATCAACACAACCCCATTAGCAATTAAGAACTCCAACCAACATAAGTAGTAACAACAACGTCTTAGCCCCAAACAAGCTGGATAGAACTTCCTTCAAGGGTCGTAAAATTTTGTGATTACCATCAAAATTAGACTTTTTCAACAAAGAAGGTTGCTAACTTAATATCAAGAAAGCTAAAGCTTCGACCAAATGGCCATATTCATATTTATGGCATTTTCTAAACTAACACAACCCCATTAGCAATCAAGAATTGTAACCACCACCATGACCAACAACAACAACAACAATGCCTTAGCCTCAAACAAATTGGATTTGTTGTGATTACCATCCAAAATTAGACCTTCTCAACAAAGAAAGTTGCTAACTTCATATCAAGAAATCTAACAGCTTCAGCCGAATGGCTCTCTTCATTTTTTATGGCATTTAGTATACTATCAACACAACCCCATTAGAAATTAAGAACTCCACACCAACATAATCCATAACAACAACAATGCCTTAGCCCCAAACAAGTTAGGGTCGTTTATATGAACCCCACTTCTTCATTTAAGCTTATTCATATCATTTTCTAAATATCTGAACCAAGCAAGATAAATTGGACTTACTAATTAAATTGCCAATTTGTTCTCAAAATAATTCACCACAGTCCCATATTAGTTTAATTGACTATATAAATCCAAGACATTCTTTCCAATACAAAATAATATATTTTCTTTTAGGGCAAACTAATAGTTCTCTAAACTAAAAAAATCCCCAAAAAATGTTAACTAAAGTGGAAAAGTGTTTACATAAGGATACTGAGGAGAAATTGTGCTTACTGAAGCTATGAAGATTTGAAATCCCAGCTGTGAAAGCACTTGTAGACGCCATTTTTTCACCACAAAATTATTTTTGCAGAAAAAATGTGTCTTTTTTCAAGAAGATTGAATAAATATCTATCCAAGTCCCATGTTGTAGTACTTCTTGATAAGCATTTTTGCCCCCTCATGTTTTGAAAATATCAAGACGAGTGCTAATACTTCTAACAGATAATAAAAAAGATAGTTTTTTTTTGAAAATTATTCAATATTCGAAATTTATATTTATTTCGTGTGATGAACAAAATTATTTATTAATTATCTTATAAAAGATAACACACATATATATAATATATTAAAATAATCAAAATATGCTTAACCTATTTTTTTTTATAATATATTGAAATAATCAAAATTTACTTAACGTAGCTCAAAAAAGAACTAGATGGGGCACATAACACTACAAAATCTAATGGCTTTACACTCAATGGAAGTAAGAAATCCATGGTTTCAAATAGTTGGTGTCATAACAATGTGATGAATCTTGAAACCTCAAAAAGGGATAAAGGGCAAAATAGTACTTTCACATAAGGACAAATGTAAAAAAAAAACCATCACCATCAAAACAAACAACAACCCACAACAAAGCCTAAAAACAAGCCACTTACCAACAACTCCAGATTTCTCTCTCTTTGCTTCTTTTTTTTTTTTTTTTTCAGAAAAATTCATCAGTCCATCACACTTGCCTTTTTTTTTTCTTGTGTTAGTATTAAATTGGTATTTATCCATTCCACTGTTGCTATCCTCATCAAGAATCAGCCTACAAAGCTACTTTCTTTCTAATGTTAGGTGTGGCTAAATTTATGTAATCAAAAAAAAAAAATCGAGAAAATTTTAGGTGTCTTCATTTTCATGTGTATAAGGCTAAACCCACCTCATACATACAACATATGACCATAAAGATACAATCTTTATGCCATAAATGCCCTTTCTGCAACATCCAAAAAAAAAAATTCCCAATCTTCATCACCTCTTCACTGTCTTTCCAATAACAAAAACAAGAACAATGTATAATAGTAGTATATATAGTATTTTCTTTTGTTATGGTTTTCCATTTATGTGGGCTTTTTGGGGTTTGTCTTGGTCAAGAGAACCTTCTTGCCACCTCTCTTTCTTTCTCTATAACTCCTTTTTTTTGTTTGGCCCTGTTGTTGTGTTGTTATTATTGTTTCTCCCCTCTTTACTTCTCTCTTATCTGCCTCCTTTTGCTCCTTTTCTTGGTTTCTTTCAACTTTTTTGTCTCTTTATTTCTCCAAGATCTGATCTTTTTATGTGAAAGGATTAGTTTGATTCATCTGTGATCTGATATGTCTAAGAAGATGAAAAGGGGTGCTTTGGAATCATCATCTTATGGTGTTTTTGAAGACACAAAGGATAGGTTGAAACATCAAACACTTCTGCAGGACTATCAAGAGCTCCAGAAGGTATAAAAATCTTGTCTTTTTTCTTTTTTTGATCATTTGCTATGAAGAAATGGACTTTTTTGCTGTGTTGAATGGTTGATTTCTCTCTCTGTTGGAGTATCTTGTTCTTGCTTGTTAGAAATGTGGTGCCATTTGGTGTAGGAACCTCCTTTGAGTTTGATCTGTTTCCTATCAGTGATTCATAGAATTGTTAATTTTTTTTTATAATTGTGCGTGCACCTTGACTAATTTCACGGGAAACGGGCCACCTCCTGTTAACAACATGTACTAGATATAAAGAAATCATCTAGTGTTTTTTTTTGTCTCCGCTAGTCATTGAACCTTTATAGAGTGTTATTTGCTGTCTCTTTGTTCAATTTCTATCTGGAGTTGCCCTTTTCATCATTTCATTATTGAGGTCTCACCTGAGATTGTATCCCTTGGTTGAATTTGTTTGTGTTTTTTCCTAGGAGTTATTAGGAATTCTCTCTAAAACAACTCTTAGCACGGTTTGATGACAGGGACGGCTCTCTCCTGCCCCATCTAAATTAGGCTTTGTTATCCTTCGGGGTGGCTCAAATAGTTCGGCTAGGTACTTTCATAATGGAGGTCTCATGTTCAAAACCCTTTGCCTGCAACAACAGGGGGTCGGCCTTCGGGGTCGAGCTTGTTGCATGGGGCTTTCCTAGTGCGGTTTATCTCTCCCGTGTGGTTCGCGAGCTATTATACAAGGGTGGGATTTACCTTGTGCACTCCCAAAGGATAGCGACTGCGGGTTCCTTTGTCATAAAAGGAATACTAAGCTTTGTTTGTCTGAGAGTTCAATCCGTAATGTGTGTAAACACACATCACGCAGTGCACTCTTATCACTAGACCAAAGTGTTGGCGTAACAGTTCATAGATTATGTCCATCATAGTCGATGATACTTCAAACTGCAAGATGATCGAATGCTGATATGTTTTGTTAGAGTAAATAGTAATGTGTGTGTGCGTGTGATCAACCGGTTTTCTTACATGTAACCTTCAACTTTCAGGAAACTGATGCCGCAAGGCACAAGCTGGAGGATTCAAAGCTGAGGAAACTAAGATTACAAGCTGAAGTTCGGTAAGTTTGTTCAACATATCAAATGGTGTTCATATTGATTTGATATAGTTTCATTTTCTTTAGGAATTCTTGAATTCAGCTTGATTCGAAGACTTCAAAATATATAGCTTGCATAGTAGAATTAAGAAAAAAGAACTGTACTTCTGTGCATATGCATTTTCTTGAAATGCTCGTGGAGTTCCTTTTCTATTTGAATCTAAGTGCAGATTTTTTTTGCATGATTGTGCAGTTTCTTACGCCAGAGGCACAAGCATCTATTGCAATCGAAGTCCTTAACAACTCCAAAAGGGAAAGAGCTAGTATCCCTACCAAATGTTGAAACTTACCCCAGGAGTAGGTCAAGGGATCAAGTTACGAGAAAAAAGGAAGCCAAGCTAAACAAACTGCCCCCTCTTCCTGGCCCTAAACCAAACGGAAGGATACAGGTTGCAAAGGTAGTTGCTTCGCAGAACATACCCGATATTCATGTGAACCAAAAGCACAGATTAGGTGGTAGACAAGAATCTGTTTTTCGCAATGCAGATTTAGAGTTGAACCGTAAATCAAGAGTATATAGGGGAAAGGATGTGTCATCCCGAAAAGGAGCTCCAGCCTATGATTTGAAGCAGGATGAGAGATTGTGCATCGCAGACAATGCTATCTTACAGAGCAGCTCGCCAACTTTTGATTTAAATCAGGATGCTGGTCATAGTGGCAAAGAAACTGCATTGCCCACTCGTGCTCCGGTCTTTGATTTGAATGAGATCTCGGTAAGTCTCAAACTAATCAACACGTACTCTTTCCGTTATTTTGTTAGTCATACACTTTTTACATCATTTACCTCTAGACTTTCTAATCCTTACAGATGGGAGAAGAGGAAAGAGATGGAAATTCTGAGCAGGTGCAGCTCGAGGAGCCAAAGAGAAGTCCAATCCAAAACCTCAATGATGATGTGAAGCTATTGGTGTGTAGAAATGTTGGAGAAGACACTTCTCGGTTGGGAAAACAAAAATTATCTTGGCAAGACCCTGTTGCTTTGAGGGTTTGATCCGTCTTCCACCGTCTAGTTAAATGTGGTAAGAAACTTGTGTGTTAATGCTGAGCATTGTCGAACTTGTGTTGACATGTAGGCTAGCACATTATTATCCTTTTAGTGTAAAGAAACTTCTTATACATGTAATACATGCATACTATATGTTCATTGCTAGCAACGAGATGTGGTCCGTATGATTCATCCTCTACATTATACACTATATTTTCTGGTGAAGCTAGGGATTTCGCGTCCTCTCTTTGATGAATTCCGTATTGATGGTTTTGAGTGTTTGTGTGGATTCTCGTCCATCGGGACGAAGAGATCCTGATACCATCTTGCATTGTTGGTGGCTTCAACTAAGTTTGATGGATTTTAAGTTTTTTCTTACAGAAATGACCAATGGCCACCTTAATGTTGAACTATCATGTTTAATAAATCTTATAGTTGCCTCATATCATGTTTAATAAATCTTAGATATCTATATGGTCATAAATCATTTTAATATATAAATTTACTATTTTAAATTGAAATGCTGAATTTTTAATATTTGATATTTGTTTTAATATTACAAATAATTTGAATTTGCATCATGCAACAAAATTTCTTTACCAGATTTGGAAAAGTTAGATAGCATAAGTTACCACCTAATTATTATGAGATCACCTACTCACTTCATAGTATCAACAAATCTTAAACGATAATAATATATTTGATGTAATTTTATGAATGAAAATTGATGAAAAGATGTGATCAAACAAATAATTTTTCTTTATTTTTAGATAAAAGATTTTGAATTCAAACTTCGAGGATGAACGACATCTCTGATGAACGTATTTTTTTTCAAACTTTTCAAATACCGAATGATTAAGCCCAAGAGGATAATAATAGCTCAAAATGAGGATAAAAATAGCTGGAGCGTTTCCCCCGAATGAACTTTGCAGTGTGATTTAAATTTAATCAGAACTTTTATGCAAACTTCAGATATTATATGAAATTTCTTTTAATAAGAAAAACTGATTTATGCGGGAAAGTACAAACATAATAAAGAGTTCAAAATATATAAATCGATTAATCAATGTGAAAAATATTTATAAAAATTAAGTTATTTAAAAGATAATCAACTAAACCACGAATGAAATATGAAACTTAAAAAGTGCTTTCACGTCTAAGAATATGTTACACAAGAGGCTGCTCTCAATTGAGTGTTTATGAATTGAATAAGATTCTTATATACTTAACTCCGCCAAACATCAAAGGATTTTGAGCTTGTGATTTGAAGAGTTTAAGATATAAGCAAATCTTACCCCTATCTTTTGTGAGGTAGAGAGGTTGTTTCTGATAAAACCCTCTATCATACACAATTGTAGAAAAGAGACGACAAAATACCAAGATACAAAAGGAATGCATCAACAGATAGTAGTACACACCGAAGAATAAGAAACTACACGATAACGGGCGCAACAAAGACTTTGAGTGTACATCATTATTACTAACAAGTAGCTAAAAGCAAAGCTAATAGAGAATAAAATCTGCAGATGCAAATACCCAGCAAAAGAGATAAACTGAAGACAAACTTACGTTATCAAATTCAGCTTTAAAATGGTGTAAAGATAGGAACAGTTGCATTTTATGAACTCACAAGTTCGACAAAACTTAATATAACAAGTCAACGGGAAAAAATAAATGAAAAACTAATGTAATACAAAACGGCTGGACTCCGTCAAGCAGCCCGTTGCCTCAAGCAAATATGGCGTATAATTTACCATGTTGCAAAACTGTCTTTCGTCGTCTAATGAACACACTTTGGGAAAAGTATACAACTCACATAAACTCACCTGTCCTTTACTACAGTTCCAATGATGAAAAACTGTGATACAGCTGCTTTAGTCCACTGAGCACAACGGAAAGGCCATCTCGAGGATAAGTGATATGGAGCACATTCCATTGACGAGGATTTGAGCTTTTTACTGGAACAGATTTTTGCAGGCTTTGACATCAGGTGCTTGTGAGTCTAACACTCCTTGACCAGTAGGGCTAGAGCTAATAGCTTTCATGATGGCAGCAAATAAGTCCTTCTGGTATAAGTCATCGGTTACCTTCTGCAGGATCTCATTCACCAACTTGAAGTCCATTGCCCCCGTCAAAACTAGCCTCGAAATTATCTCCCCGAAATTTGCTGGTGCTTTTGGTAAATCCATTGCAAGATCTTCCAATTGAGAAGCAAAGTTCAAGCATCCAGTAGCCAAGTCTGTAGCAGTAAAAACCTTTTCAGCAGACAAGTGCTCAAGAAGTTGTGCAACTGGTTCAACGCGTGGTGGGCTTTTGTCCAGTCCGAGTGATATGGCTTTCTCGACAACCTCAGGATAGAAGGCAGGGGATTTGAGTTCCTCAATGCACTGTAAGGCTTCATCCAAAATCCGAACACTAAAATATTCCTCCAAAAGTGAAACTGTTTTTCTTTTCAGCTCCTCAGGATTTGACCTTGCAGCTGGAGCCTGAGGTTTCCCAGCAACAGGCAAAACGGTACTAGTTGGAGATGGCTTAACTGGTACTGGAACTTGTGATACAGGCTCCATACCAGAGACATAGCCTGATGGTCGGACAGGAGGTCCACCACTACCTTGTAAGAGAGCACTACTCCTGCCACTCATGCCGACATTGCTACCCTGAGGCAACAGTCTTGTGTTCAAGGCCGGCGACTTCCCAATCAATGGTTGCTGAGCACCTCTCGGCATTCGTGACCTAGGAACTTCCCAGTTGTCATTATCCATTCCTGGCATCCCAGGCATCTTCCTTGCTCCTGGCATCCCTGGCATCATACCACCAGTGCCGGGTCGATTAATGGGATAGCCACCAGGACCCAAATTCCCTTGAATACCTGGAGGAGCACGAGCATTTCTAATGCTTAATGTAGCACCAGGACGCAACCCCAAGGTCTTCTCTGCTTCCGAGTGGATCTCGTTAATGGTTTTGGCTTTCACCTATAAAAGAAGTTAATACATCATGAGAAAGAAGTGGACTTAACTAGTCAGAACTACTGCATAAGCAAATCGTGTATCACCTCTTCCCGCCTAGGGACCCAGTTATTGGCACGTAAATCCAGCACATCACGAACCAAAAACCTTAGGCGTGCTACCAGCTGAGGGTTTGTCGATAGTTCTTTCAATTGGTTGAAATATATATCATTGATGTGCCTCGACTTTTGCTTCTTGTCAAGCTGCTTACCAATGGTGTTAAAGAACTGACATATAGCTTCAACATTCTCTTCTTCTGGACAGCTTTTGGGATCTTGTCCTAATAGTTCCTGTAAGCAAGATCAGGAAGACAATTTTCCACAAAATTGATATATTGGTTACATTTATGAGGGAAAGGACCAAGAAGATTATTAAGCTAATAGAAAACAATCAATAACCTGAACAATGTGATGAACAATCTTTTCAGGAACCATATTTTGCTTCAATAGCTCCCCAATAAGACGTATGTTTCCAAGAGTGCGCAATTTGATCAACCTTTCTTTGTCCTTGCGTTCCGACTCCTGCTCCGGAGCAGTCATTCGTCTCATCTCTTCCCTCAGTTTGTCAGAACCTTCAAATGCCTCTTGGCAATTATTCAGAAGAACTCGCTTAAACGTGATTTCTTTCCCACCAGGTTCATCAGATGGAAATGGAGGAAGCTTCTCGTTGAGATCAGAACACAACTGGGCATACATCGGGCAAAAGGTGGGTTCCAATACAGCCTTGTCAAATATCAAGGAGATCACACCCTAGAATTTAGAGAAGAGAATACATCAGTTAACCAAGACATACGATGGAAACAAGAAATTACAGAAATATAAGTATCCGAAAGATAAGACCTCCAGAATGTCTGCACTTGTTATCCCTGAATCTATTAATTGGCCTTTGAGAAGATCAAATTTCTCTGGGGTCAACTTGTTAAGTATTCTGCAAGATCGATAATACTTGCATCAATCATGTACAAATAAGGATATCCTAAAATTCACCTTAAAAGAATGTGCAAACTACATCTGAAACCAAGACCGTATTGAAACCTTTTTATTTATTTGCAATGACGGCTTATTATATCCATGAATAGAGAAAAGGTAGTACAGAAGAAATGCAGTTCCCTACTTTCAAGATGTGGTGAAAAAATAGCTTGGAATTATAATACAGAACTTGTTAAAAGCATTAACTAGAATTTCCAGAAAGATTACCCCTTGACTGTTTTCAAGACACGATCTTTGTCAGAAAGAGTGCCCCTTCGAACTGACCATGGCACCTCAGCTTTGATCAGTGTAGGAGCAGGACCTCCCTGGTACACAAACAATTGAAGAGTTTCAGAGACCAGATGTAGCAGATAGTTCATCATCAGGCAAAATCATGTAGTTTGAGCAGAAAAAAAAAAAAGAAACCATTGCTGGTGCAAGGAATAAACTTAGCAATTAAAACAGAGAGAAAGACATTATGTAGGAAAAAAGAGATATCTCTTAAATTAATCTAATTGATGTTCCAAATTATGTCAATAAGATAATACAACTATGTATTTGTATACCTAATTTTAATACATACAACAAAGTGCAAAACAACCACAATGTGGTGATAATCAAGTATATTATTCTTCAATAGGACGTCTTTTCTTCAAGTGTTGATGGCTTTCAGAATGCATGGAAAACTGAACTTGTCTTTGGGAGTACAACAGCAGGAATAAATTAACAGAAGTTATTCAAATCAATAATGAACATTCTCCAAACTGCGCAAGAGGAAATTAATTACCCCTTGATTGGCAGAAACTTGAGCTCTTGCAAACTGTGATTGCTCTTGCCGAGTATACTGGCCACCAAATTCCCTGTTTTCTCGAAGTGCTTCCCATGACCTCTCCTCTATGGGGGCAGAAAATTGTGCTGGCCTATTACGCCAGTCACGATTGTCTGGTTCAGAATAACGACCCTGAGACTGCACCTGCACCTACCGAAAGACAATTAAACTGGAAAATAAGGCAACAGAAAGTGAAAACTGGAAGAAAGTGAAATAGAACATAGACAAGCAGTAACCGAAAATAGTGAGTTGGAACTGTTCTTTAGTTTGCAACATTACCAAAAGCAACGAAAAATAGTGAGTTGGAACTGTTCTTTAGTTTGCAACATTACCAAAAGCATCAAATATTGCTTTTTTTAGTCCACAGAGGGGAGGAGAGAAATGCCAACAAAATTGTCAGATGAGAAGAAATACAACTTTTTATATCAAGTCGGAGAAAAACTCACATTGCTATCCACACGACCCCGAGAGGAATCTTCCCCAAACAGTTCAGCTTCAACTTCGTGTTTGATTTGCAGAATAACCTCAGGTAACTGTAAGACAACCGCCTAGAAGACCACAAAAACCAGAATCAAGGACAAGCAAATAAATTATGATAATCCACAATGATTTCATTTTTTATTTCTTTTTTTGGGTAGCTGGAATCGAGAGAGATCTAAAATATGGAAGAAGAGGACTGCATTCTTAATAATAGAAATTACATCGCAGTCGATACCTATCAGTAAAAGTGGCTTTTTTTTTAAAATGGTAATAATAAGAGAGAAGAAATGGCCAGATTTGTCTCACATCTATCTATGTACAGAAAACTAATAATCAATAAACACTATCGCTGAACAATTTTAAATAATGATATTACCTCCCTCAGTTGCAGGAGCTGATCTCGAGTATAGCGAACACGTTCATGGCTGTCAAAACGAGAATCTCCAGTCTACAATGATAAAGGTGAGTTAGAACAAACAGAACTCTGAGAACAACAAGTTCTTAAAAGGAAAGCCAAGCAAAAAGATACACATCTTGAGCTAGAATAGAACACGGAAAGTACCATAAAAAGGCAAATCCAGCAAGAAAGCACTCATCAGAATCAATGCTCCTTGTGAAAATAAGGGAACATAGAAGGAAATATAGGTGAATTGATTGTAAGAATTTAAAATATTTCTACATGTTTTACGAAGTTCATAGGCTATCAGCTAAGACACAACAGAGATGTCAGTCTGACTGACTAAACAAGCAACCAGGGACCAGAGTCTTCATACTGGTAATATATTAGACAATGACGGTTTAAGAATATTTTGCAACAAAAGGAGTTGATAGCCTGTTCTTTCTCTTTTTTCGTAAATCAGAAATCATATATCTAGAACTTATCACAATTCCGGGGGAAAACATCACCTAACAGGCTTCATCTAAGGATCTCCCTCAAATTTTAGTTGCGTGATATGTTTTCTTTTTTATCTTCATGATATACAAGCATGAAAAAATGCCAATGCTCAAGTTCCCACATAGCACTATGAACAACATGACTAGCTTTTGCATGGTCAAATAGCTAATGAGACTTCCAGTGTTAGTAGGGTTCTTTATGGGCAGCCTGATAATTCTCAAGTGACCACCAAAAACATACTAATGATTATCCGTCCATGTTTACTGCAGGTACACAACTATAGTGGGCTGCCAAGAATTAGGACGTTAACAAGAATGAATTGAAATATTATGCACACATACACTTCTACTGGACCAATGAACATACAGTTATCTTTCTCATTCATATTTGAATCATGCACAAGCACAACGAAATATCAATTCTCACATTCCTAAATGCCACATAACCAACACTATTCACCAGAGAAAGGTCATACTCTTTTGCTTACTCTTCAATTCACTTCAGTTATTTAACGTTCTAACTTACTACAATATATTCCAAACTAACAACACAAAAATCAAGCTGTACATCTACCACTAACTGAATTTACTGTCCAAAGAACAGAATTCCATAAGTGACTGGCTTTTGCATGGCTAATAGCTACTAAAACTTTCAGTTTTTAGTAGGGTTCTTTATGGGCAGCCTGATAATTCTTAAGAGCCCACCTAAAGCCTACTAATGATTCTCCCTCCATATTTACAGCAGATACACAACTAAAGTGAGCTGCCAATAATTAGGAGATATAGGACATTAACGCAAATATATTCTCTTATTATGTAAGAGAGAGTTGAGCAGCTGAAGCAGGCAGCAGTTGTCGAAAGAATGACCTACTTTCCTTTTAGTCTGTCTCAAAAAGAATGACTCATTTCCCCTTTGGTAACACTTTAATTTCAACTTCCCACATGGCATATTTTAGGCCACAAGATTAGAGGGCATTTTTGTACATTTCACATTACTTTAATTAAGGACCACGTTGTTGAAAAGTGTCTTTTTATTTTCTTAAACTCCGTGTCAAGTCAAAGTGGGTCATTCTCTTTGGAACGAGGGGTGTACCAACAATATAGTCATCTTTCTTGTTCATATTAAATGTATTCCTGTATAATTCTCATTTCAACAGTTTGGAAAAGGTGATGTCATTAATGAGGCTGTTCATGTTTTCATTTCAGCATATTGCAGAGGCACTTCCATGTTATCTACAGAAGTTCTATCCAAGTTCAGATAGTGCAGTCTCATGTCAAGCCAAAAGAAGACACAAAATGGTACAGAAAACCACTATGCACATCCCACTGACAAGATAGTCTGCATCAAGCACCCAGCTACCACGAGTCAAGGTGTCCAGCCCAGATACTCGATTGGTCGACCACCCATACAACAGAAGTGTACCATTAAAAGCATTTGCACTTCCGTTTATAGATATTATTAATCACAAAAGTCAGAAACTTCATCAGAAAACCACCCAACTCACCAATCACACGGAGAACACTGACAACTTTGCTTACAGATTTAATAATCATACAGATTGACGCATAAAGTATCATTATTATTGTTCTATTATAATCTTATTCGTCAATTGTATTACCACTGTTGTTTCTCTTACTTAGATTTTTACTATTTGTACTGTCAATACTTTTCTTTTACCATTTTCATCACCCTTTTATTAACCTCAAACCTGTTTTTGAAAACACTTCTCTTGAGGCAGGGATATATCAAAAACAACTTCTCTACATCATACAAGGTGGAGGTAAGGTCTAAGTACACTCCACCCTCCTCATACCCCACTTGAGGTATCACACAGGTAATGCTGTTGTATTCATGCATAAAGTAAAAATATAAAAACACATGTTCTACAACAGGAACACATAGACCCACAATTTTTTTTACAAAAAGAAATAAATTTCTATAAACTATAGGCACAGTTGAATAATGCACCAGACATATATCCAACATGAGACTTGATACTCTCTCCCCGAACCTGAGCAACACGGAAGCATTCAGCAGGCACATAACAACAGATATCACCAATATCATTACGCAATATAATCAGAAAGAGACCAAGTAGAAACCAAAGATTGTATTTCGCAAAAAAAAGAAGTATGCTTACATTGTTTCTAATTTCAACAAATCAATCAATCAACTACGCGCTTCAGCCAGCCTTGAACTAGTTGTGGTTGGATTACGTGAATCACCTATATCCATCCCACTTAAACAACCACATTTCAATCAAGCCCTAGGGAGAGCTAGGGGCCACAAGGGAATTCATCCCCTTCACCCGAAAACTCAAAGCATTACAGTATATATACAAAGTAAATATTCTATCCCCGAGCGAAACTCCGGCTCCACCACCATTCCAATGCTTAATAATTTATCTTCTAAACAACAATACAGAGGCTCTCTAATGCAGAATCACAAGCTAGATAGTAAAAAAGATTGGATTTTTCACATTGAAAACAACAAAAGATCAACAATAGATAAATCAAACAGCTAAAGAACATCAAGAAAAAGCAAATCCACAAAGCAAAAAGATCCATAGATCTGAAAAAAAGATTCAACCTTGAAAGATGGCAAAGATGAAGAACCTCCATGAGGACGAAAACCTGAGAGATCAGAATTGGTAGATGAGGTATCAAAGCGAGAGCCAAATACTCTGCTTCCACCACCTCTGTTACCACCACCTGGTCTCAAACTTATCACCGTCTGATCAGCCTGCATACCTCAATTCTCCACAGTCCGATCAATTCGAACACCTCCACACACAAAAAGAAAAATGGCAAATCTAAACCAAAAACGAATCAACAAAAAGCTATAGATACAGATAAACGTGTATCTATATGTGTATAGAGATACAAAAGATTAGATTTTTAGAGAGAGAAAGTAAGAATTTTTAGAGAGAGAGAGAAAGAGAGATATTGCTTTTCCTCTCTTCTCTACTGGGGACAGAGGCAATGGTAGAGGCGATTGTGAAGAGGGTGAGGAAAAAAAACCCTTTGAGGGTAGTTTCGGAATTATAAAATTTATGTAAGGGTAATTTTGGTACTATAATTTATATTAGGCCTTTTTAGACCCTTTTTTATTGGTCAATTTTCTCAAAGTTTCGAAAATAATTTTTTTACCTTTGATGAAAGAGATAATCTATGTATACATTCTATAATCCTCGTATTCTATTTTATATTGTTGTATTGTTATACGTAACGAGAAAAATATTTATAATAATTGTTTAGCTTTGATAAACGAAGTTACTTAGTACATGTTGTTGGTGAGAGGTATCAGGTAATTCAAGTGACATGAAAGTTTATTCGAACACTACGTTCATAAAAATAAAATTTGCACTGATAAATCTCATTTTTTAAAAAATTATTATTCAATGCTTTTTTTAAGCTTGATTAATTGAGATTCATATTGAAATATCTTATTTTTTAATAAAGCAACATTTAGCGGAAAAAAAAATTATTCTCAAATCTAAATTTGAAATGTCTATCTAAAGATCTAATGAGTTATTTATCACTAACACCTATCATTTTTTATGATAAACATACAAATATTTTTATCTTTGGTTTATTTATAAATTTTGATATTAATCGTTGTTATTTATGAGGCAATATGTTAATAGACTATTTTTTAGAAATATATTAGATGAGAATCTAAAACATATATTTCAAATAATTAAAGATCAAATAATATTGTTAATAAGATAATATTAAATGTATTAACTCCATAATTATTATTAACAAATAAATCATTGAAATATTATAAACACATTTTTTTTAGCTTGGTATAAATGACATTTTTGGTAAAAAATATAAGTTATCACATGCATCCTTGAGTTCTTGAAAAAATATTAAGGTCCTTTTAAGAAAATTAAGTTATATACAATTTTTTTTATCGAAGATCTCATTCTTTCTTTAATTAAAGACTATAAATTTGAGTGTTAGATATGAAAATTTTTCAGGAAAACATGAGAAAATAAATTCAAAATCTACTTGTTTTTCAGGAAAATATTTTCTACGTACCAACCAAACATGAGAAAATAAGTCCAAAATCTACTTGTTTTCCAGGAAAACATTTTCTAGAAAACATTTTCCTTCATACCAAACACACCCATAATTTTTTTTTACTGAAGATCTCGTTCTTTCTTTAATTAGAGACTATAAATTTGAGTGTTTGATATAAATTATTATTTTTTGATGGAGAGTATTTTTCCTTGATTAGGGTTTTATGTAGCATAAATTTAAAACAGGTAATTTTTAATATGAATATCAAACGCTAAATAAAAAAATATATGTATTATTTTATCAGGGTTGACTTTTTTGCCCCGGAAGATTTAAAAAAAATCTCGTTCTTTCTTTAATTAAAGATTATAAATTTGAGTGTTAGATATGAATTCTTTTTATGGAGAGTATTTTTCCTTGATTAGGGCTTTATGTAACATAAATTTAAAACAGGTAAATTTCAATATGAATATCAAACGCTAAATAAAAAAATATATATGTATTATTTTACCAGTGTTGACCTTTTTGCCCTTGAAGCTTTTAGAAATGTGTGAATGATGGTGTTATCATCAAATAATATCTCACTACTATTATTTTATTACTATGTATTATTCAATATTTATCAAATGTCTCTTTGCTTAAGGTCTTGAAGTCATTTATAAATCATAATATTTAACCTCACAAAAAAAGACATATATGTTCATGTTAACTTATTTGAAACATAATAGTTATTATTAGTACATGTACTAGATCTTAACCAAATTATCATACTCTTATTAATTTTGTGAAAATGAAAAAAAAAAGTGAAAACAACAAGTTGTATATTCAACAAGTTTAAATCGATAATAAAATCGTTAACATATATTTAAAACTGAGAATCTTTCGTTTTGATTGTTCAACTTGCATAACGTCTTATATTCTATTTATATTGAAAGTATATCATATTTGACTATTTGTAGAACTACATTACCATTACAAATAGATTAACAATGTAAGCTTAATATAGAACACGAGTGATTAAACCAGTAAATAATTAATACATGTAGTCCATTTTGCAAATAGATTGATTAGAAATGCATATTTCAATTAATTAAAAAATAATTATACTTTATCAGATATCACAATAAATTATATTGAAATTTAATGATAATTGAAGGACCAAAAGTGTTATCAAACCCTATTTTGTTCTTTCAAATCTCATAATCCAAAAAGGCAAAAATTAATGCAAACATGCATTAAATAAAATATTGGACAATACA